TTTCCTCTGGGTTCTCTGTTTTTTCCCCCCACAGGCCGTGAACAGTAGAGTGAAACAGTCACAGTGGTAGGTTAATTGGTTTCTGGGAAAACTGGCCCTGGAGTGACTATGTCCACGTCTGTGTCTGTGTGTCTGCCCTGTGATGGCCTGGTGTCCAGTTCAGGGTGTATTTGACATTCTGCCCACTGGTTGCTGGCATATGTCATGGCTCCTCTGTGACAATGAATTGGATAAAATGAAGGGAGTTACTCTTCTGATTATTAGATCTGATGTACAGTAGGATTCAGTAGTCACTAGTATTTTTCTGCATTAGCATAAGTAGTATTTCTATTAGCATAAGCATAAGTGGCAAATGTGAAATGTCTATGTCGTGCCCTCTTCCAACTGCATTAGTTAAATAATTTGTGGTTAATATGCTTTATAGGAGCAGAGTAACCAGTTGACATAAATATCATTGGCAATGGTTAAGCTTTTTATTTAAATTAATAGCTTCAACTTGGGACATAGCCTTGTTGGAAAGCCTGCATGAGGAGTAGGAGCTTTAATGAATACAAGGGCATTTAAAGTGGTTTGATTAATTTCACTATGCTATTGATGTTTCCCATGTCTTTGTTTTTATCTCAACTCTGCAACTCAAGGAGCTAAATTAATTTAGATTGACCTTAGATTCTCTTTACTTTAGTAAAATGTTTTTTTATCACAAGCTGAAATTAAGTGACTGCTATTTTGTTTATTATAAATTAAATGGAAAGTCAATAGTCTTTGCAGTCTATCCATAGGATATATAAAGGATATAATGTGGTAATTAGAAAGTTGCAATGATATTCAAAAGTTTTTGCTGTGATAATAGTAGCAGAAGTATCAAATATGTATCAAACATACAGTATGTGTACTTTTCTAACGAAAAGTACTGTACATATCCTTAAGGTTGCAGCAGACGAGCTAGAATTGATCACAATTTACCTGTAGCAGGAGAAGTACTGTAGAAGTAGACTGTTTTAGCCTGGCAAAATACAAGTAAAAATACTACTTGTTTCATCCTTCTTTTCAACTAATCTGACTAACTGCTCAAATGTGCGGGTCTTAAATACTGTATTCACAGTGCCTACACTGAACAGAAAATAAACCCTAATTTGCTTCTTTAAATTCAAATGTCTTAATAAATTAGAATCCATGATTTTAACAGGTCAATTAATATTAATCTCAAATCAATTGTCCTGAAGACATACTGTATAGGCATCTTGCTGGTATACTATATATCATATTGTTCTGTTGTTTTGCTCTAATATGAATGAATATAGACATTTTCAAAATGAAATTTGCACAGCTGGAATATTGTAGAGTATCATCACAATTGTGTATAACATGTAACTGCATCAATAGCTGCATCGTCACCAGCAGTCAGATCAGTGTGCAAAACACAGGGATACTGGGAGTGAATGCAAAGAACTACTGTTGTGTGAAACAAACTTAGCTTTTAAAAAAAAAAACACATACAGTAATGTTCTGTAAAGTTACATGTTTTACCATAAACATAACATTTTGGATGAGAAATAAAATGAAAGAACTTCACGGATAATTATGTCCATCATTCAGTCTATTTCTCTCTCCTGTGTGCAGTGGTACAGTGCATACAGTCCTGTACCCGAGAACTCCCTTTGATTTTCTAAAAATGGAACAACTGATACTAGAGCAGTCACTTTTACTTCTAACATCTTCCTCTCCTGTTTGAGCAATATCAACCCTGGATTTCTTTGGGTGGCAGTTTTTTAAGATGCTAATACTTAATGAATTCTCACAGAACAATATTAAATAATGGATTCGTCCATTTAAAAAACCCATTTATTCCATAAACAGACAGTTACCGTATGTTAATGGTATATACCTTCTACTGTATTCTTATTACCTCTGCCCATCAAAACATAGTATTTCGGTTTTGGGGTGTAGTATTGACTGGGCTGAAATTAATACACTCAACAAACGTGCAGCTTTTATCCATGAGCACAACTGTTTTTTATTTCTGTACTATTTCTCATACTGTTCATTTTGGAAAATTGCTGTGAAATTACTCAATAAAAGGAGGATACCTACTGTATGAGCCCATTTCATGAGACATCAAGCCTTGATTAAAGCATATTTTTGTATTGGGCTCTCAACAATAACAGCAGCTCTATTTACTAAGTTTGTATGGGCTACAGTGAACTTTAGAGTGGTTTGGGTCATTTATTCAGCTTTGTGCTTCCAAAAGCAGCACTTATATTAAATTTCATCATGTCCAATAACATTTTAATCTTCTGGCTAGATAACTGTTCTCTTGCTTAATTCCAGTAGGACTGCAGAAAAAAACCTGTCTTAGTAATTGTTATGTTGAGACAGATGGAGGTCTTGAAATTACAATTCTTTGATT